TATGGATTGATGTGTGTCCCCCCAAAAGATGTGTTGAAGTCCTAACCCCCAGAATCTGTAAATGTAAACCTATTTTTAAATAGAGTCTTTGCAGATGTACTGAAATTAAGATGAGGTCACATCAGATCAGAGCAGGTTTTAATTTGATGACTTATAAGAAGAGGGAAACCTGGATACAGACACACAGTGGGGGAATACCATGTGAAGATGGAGGAGAGATTGGAGTTATTCTGCCCCACTTAAGGGACACCAAAGATTGCTGGCAACCACCAGAAGCTAGAGAGAAGCAAAGAAAGATCTTCCCCTACAGCTTTCAGAGAGAGCATGGCCTTGCCAACACCTTGATTTGGAACTGGAGCTTCCAGAACTATGAGAGAAGTCTCTGTTGTGTTAGGCCACACAGTTTGTGGCCATTTGATATGGCAGCCCTAGGAAATGAATGCACTATATCCAGTGCACTTCCTCCAGGAAGGAAGAGATGGAGCAAGAGGAAAGGTGTTAGGCTCAGACATCATGAGGAACAAAGACGGAAAGTCTTGAGGAGTATGTGCATTCTGCTCCTCATTCCCTGGCCAGGAGAGGAACAGAGACCCCTGGGTCACCCTTAGCAAGCACGAGTCTGCCATCAGCCTGGCTTCGGATCTTGCTATACTTGGGCACGTGGCTGGCGGAGCAGGGAAAGGGTGTGCCGCTAGGGACTAGCCATTTGCCTAACAACTTCACTACAAATTCCGCCAAGTATCCTGGGCACATGTAGGGAATAAAAGACAAGAGAAAAATCAGATTTCATGTGGGAGGCTGAACAGATTGTGCCTGATAACATGAGACAATTAGAGAATCAGCAAAGAGAAAGAAAGATGGGCTGTGAACCAGATAGGAATAAAAATAGCTGCTTAGGGGGGATGATGTTGGTGAGGATGATGATGATGATGATGAGGCTATCAATGATAACAATCTCTCACATTTGTTAGAACTTTATGGTTGGCAAAGCACTTCTAATTCATGATGTTGTCTAATTTTTGGCTAGTTAGGAAGGCCACTGGGGTGGGTGGGGCAACAGGTCCTGGGACTTGTGCTTGGCACTGACTCCCAGGTTCTGCCTCTGTCAGTGTGTGCAACAGAGCCGAGCTGACGTTGGCATCACCCTCCACTGAGTCTCTGTGTCAGGAGGTAGTCATGGAAACTCACTCTCTTCCTAAGCTGATGAGGAGAGAATTAGGTAGAAAGTAGGAATCAAGTTAATTGCCTGTCATTCCCTCTCTGCTCTTTGTGTGTTGATTCAAATTAAGCTTTTTCAGTTTTCTGATGTCAGCAGATACCAGAGGATGAGAGCACAGGCCTGGGAGTCAGGACCTGCAGGAAACAGCCAATTGTGAGCAAATCCCTGAGCCTTTCTGCTTCTCTGTTTAGTTCTGACCCAAGCACTCAGGAAAACAAATCTCTTTGCCTGACCCTGCCACCCCCCACCACCCTGCCCCTCGATTTCTGACCCAAACCCTCTGAACTGCCTTCATTTTAACCATCTCTGACTCTACATCCATTCAGCCAGCCATTCCTCCTCTTGCAGAGAAAAGAGCAAAGAATTCAAATTGAATTCTGCGTTTATTGGAATTCACTGTAGCTCAGAGGGAAGTAAATAAGTCAGTTAAGTAAGTCATCTGTGATGTGTGTTGCCCACATGGAGGGAAATGGAGGAAAGATCTAGAGGTTTTCTGCAAGTGGTATCACCACTAGCTCAGTTGTCACCTGAACAGAGTGGGAGGAGGTCTCCAAAGATGAGGCCCTTTCCTGTCCTATGGGCTCTTCTCTACAGCCAGATGGAATTATTTGAGATTCCTTGCATGCTCCTTGCTTGTTCTCATCTTCAGCTCTTCAAAGGTTTTCTCTGCCTGGAACACCCTTCCTACTTCTTAATTATGTCTTAACCCTGACAGTACTTGTCTGGGAAGCCTTCTTAGGGCTGAATATAGGACTTCCAAAAACCATGAATTTCCTCTACTATAGACAAAGAGCAGGTCATCAGTGTACACACAAATGCGGCTTCCCCACTGTACTACAAACTTTGGGGGCAGGGACCCTGTCTCGCTCAATGATATTTCCCAGCACTAAGCACCATGCCTGGCACCTAGGAGGTGCCATTTAATAAATGGGCCATGAAAGGAATTTTAGAGGATGGTGTTCTGGAAGAAGAAAATATTTACTTACGATCTAGAGTTGAATGTTGGTTGTAATCTCTCTGGATTTCCGTGCTATTTGCATTTCACCCCAATAATATGGCCAGCTCTGAGGCTTCTTTAGGCCCCAGAACAGGTTTGCCCCAAGAACTCTGCCCTGCTTCATTCAGGCCAATGTCTCTCCTGGCAGTTTTGGCCATGCTGGCTCTGAAAGCAGCGAACTCTGAGGTTAAGTCCTGGTTCATGGTGGGAACTACAGAGGTAGAAGGGGTAGAATGAAGAATCCCAGGCTGAAGAGGCTGAAGAGAGTGTTTGGAATTCCTCTAGAAGGCTCTTCCTGGATCAGAAGAAAATTCTGGGAAGGGGATGTTGTCTCAGATTAGGGATAAGAGGCCGCTGGGCTAGGGGAAAAGATGCCTCTCAGTTTAACGATGAAGGTGACAGGATGACTTTCTCCTTGTATCTATCTGGAGTTTATAGTTTTTATAGAAGTGTTCAGTATATTGGCACGCTTCTCTGTCGGGAGCGAACAGGGACAATAGTTCTGGACTTCGGTTTCCTTTTATATAGATAAAAGAGAGAATAGAACCAAATGCTCTCTAAGGTCTGTTGCCTGATTTTATACAAATAGATTACGAATTTGCTGTGTGACTGTTTTAGAAGTTGAACTTGGCAGGAGAGTGAGAGCAGTGTGTTGTGCTGGCTGCTTCAGGGGCCAGTTTAGGGGCAGAGGTGGCTCAGGTAGGCTGAGGCTCTTCCAGGGACCCTGGCTCCATTTTTTTCTCCCCATCTTTTTCTCCCACCCCTTTCCCTCTCTGGTGGAAGGCAGTGTGTCATGGTGCTTAGTTGGACAGGCTTGCCAGTCAGGTAGACGTACACTCGAGTCCCAGCTCTGTCACTTACTGTGTATGACCTGGGCCAAATTTCTTGACCTCCCTTAGCCTGTTTCCTCACCTCCAAAAACTGAGTTTATCTTTTTAAGGTCATCCTAAGGTTTTAATGGCTTGGTGGAAAGGAAGGATACACCATATTTGCCATCCTTCTTCCTCACAAATATATTAATACTGACGCTATGTTTTTATTTTTAGAACTCTCATTTTGACATGGAATTTTATTAATTTTAACCCACTGTCCTATTTGTTTTCTGTTTATTTTGCATGGAAAAACCTAGGATCACGTCCTTTTACTTCTTTAGATATGTAACAGTCTCAGTCCCCAGTTCTGCTTGCCGCATAAACCTCTTGAGCTAGATGGCATGAAGTACAAGAACTAGTGGGCACATAGAATTTTCCCACTAGACTTACAATATGAATACTGTTTTAGGCAATAACATTTTAAAAATGCTGGCATTAAAAGCATTCAGGAGTAACAGGTAACAAAGTTGCTGGGGGTATATATTTGCTTCTTATACACTTAAGGGTTAGAGGAATAAAGATGGGGCAAAGAAGCCTTGGATTCTTCGTTAAATTCTTGTGCACTTAAAAATTTTACCAGCATTACAGTGGGCATCTGTCACACCTATGCACTAACAGCCCTTCACAGTAAATTAACTGAAGTTCAGGATGATAACACTTCATAAATTATCCATAAATTGTATCTGGATTCTCTAGTCAATGAGAAATAGCTTCTGTAGGTAAAAAGGGAAGTAGTGAGACTATTCAGGTTCCTTCTAAATGCAATTTGAATGACATCGACACATTATTTCTATTATGCCTTTCATTTCAGTTGTTGGAGTGGTCCTGTTCAGGCTCTGCACTAGGCCTTCATGAAGACTGTCCATGTGATGTCTTTGGACAGATACTCTGCCTGGTGCCCCCAGTTCTGAGGTCCTCTGACAGTCTAGAGGAGTCCCTATCACCCTTACATGTAAATGAACAAACACAGGAGCAGGTGGTGGGCTCCTTGAGGGCAGGAGCTGTCTTCTTCATTGTCATTGATCCAGAGCCTGGGAGGTGACTGGCACTTTGTAGACATTAAAAACTTAATGGGGTTTAGGGTCTCAGAGTATTTGGGCTCTGTTAAGCAGGAGATGAAGATGCCTCGGTAGGAAAACCCTATGGCGTTATGAAAAGCGTATTGAAGGCATGTTATGAACCATACGGTTGAAACAGATACCACAAGTGGGAGCCACCATTCCTTTTTCCCTTAACATCCTCATCCTGAATTATTCTGGAGTTGAGTCTCCAAGAATAAGGGAATGGAGTCAGAGGGCCTTCTTAGTGAGAACTACAGTGCAGGGGTAGCAAGATTTGAAAGGAAGCTTGGGTCCCAATGTGGGACAATGTCTTGCTCAGGGTGAGGAATTTCCCTCACCAATGGCAGCCAGATTCTACAGAGAGGTAGAAGCACTGGCCATGCCCTTATAATTCAGCATACAGTGAACAAAAGGAACGACCAAAAGTGTATGGGCCCACAACAGTACAAGGTCAGCCTGACAGTTTAATTAGAGGCTTGACAGAAGAGAGTGTGGCTATTCTGCAAGATGGTTTACTGGCTGAGATTTCAAGGACCCCCGGCGAGTTGACAATTATGAGATCTGTTCATTTTTTCTTCACTGTGATGAATCATGCCTCTGATGACAATTTTGTGTGTGTGTAGAGTCATGTTTTATCAGCTTCTTTCTGAATTATTGCTTGTCACTCGGGGACCTCCCAACCACTTGGAGCTTGCGAGGATGAAGTCAGATTTTAGCTGGGGAGGTAGAACATTCTGTTTAGGAGGAAGCAGTTGGTTATACCTGCTACTCAGGGAGATCCTACCTCCGCGAGTCTTCTTCCTACCCCACGCCAGAGAACACAGCATAGTCTTTCTGAGCAGACCCTGGCCAGTGGCCCAATGACCTGGCAGCTAAGGGTGGGCACAGGGAGTACGCTCTCTTCTCCTTCAGCAAGACAGGATCTTGAGGAAGGCTTTACGGAACTCGACATTGAAGGTGGTATAGATCACGGGGTTGAGGGCACTGTTCACGTAGCCCAGCCATGTGGTGGCGCTGTAAAGCTCTGGGGACACGTGGCAGGCTCGGCAGTGGGTATTGAGAACGTGGGTCAAAAAGAAGGGCAGCCAGCAGACAATGAAGGCCCCTGGGTTGCAAAGGAAGAGAGAAACTGGGTCAGGGGTATGCTTACTCCTTTTGTTATAACATGAAAATGACTCATGTTTGTTTGCTTTGTGCCAGCCACCATGCTGGAATTTTATAGACCCATTTAATTTTTACACCAACCCTATGAAGTAGATGTGATTAGCCACTTCTTTTTTCTTTTTCTTTTATTTTGGATGAGAAAATTACATGCTTACATCTTTGATTCATCTCAGGCCTTTGTTCCTAAATCAATTTTCTAGTTTGATATTTAGGTAGCTCTTTACTAGTCTTTTCTACTTCTCAGTTCAATTCAAATATTTATTTAATGGCTAGCCGTGTGAGACATGATCCTAGGCACCGATAGGGAAGAAGACCTTAAAGACCTGACAGTTCCTGCTGTTGAGATTACATCCAGGTGTTCTCATAAAGTCCCTGAGATATGAGAAAGTGAGGTTTGTCAGTGGCAGTGAACAGGATGAATTGCCTTCAGTAACTCTATATGCTATGTGTGACTTATCAATTTTTTTCTTTATTCAAATACATTTTTTATTTTTTCTACTATAAAAATTAACCCTGATTTTGTACATTTTGGAAAACTTGGTAAATACAGAGAAGTAGAAGGAAGAAAAATAACCACCCACCACTCAAAGACAATCACTTTTGACATCTTGGTGAATTAATTTTCATGTTTTTCTTTGAAATAATCTCGATGTTATCACACCATATGACAGCAGTTTTTTGCATCCCTATTTTTTCACTTAATATTTTAGAATAAATAAGCCTTTATTAAATATCCAATATGTGCCAGACACTTTTGTTGAATTGTTATCTTATTTATTATTTGATTTATCCATTATAATCTCACGTGATAGACAACAAACAATGGATAAACGCAGTTCAATTAGGTCACTTGTTCAACTTTGTATTTCATATTTTCAGCCCAGATCTGTTGAATTTTCCCCAGAGTTAACATTGATATGCAAACTCTTCTCAATTGTTTCACAAACATTTATAAATATTACCATTGTTGGATTTCCATTTCTGACAAATGTGGTTCCTTAGTACCCTCTGCCAGCTCCACCAAACTCAACCTAACCCAACCAAATTCAACCCAACTCAACCCAACTCAACATGACCCAAACTCACCAAGCACAATGGCCAGCATCTGGGTTGCCTTCTTCTCCCGAAGTGGCACTCCACGAGGCTGCAAGGGTCCCAGCTTTAGAGATGTCGACAACCTGCCATTACTGAGTTTTCGAACCTCTAAGCTGAGCTTGGGTGCCATGGTGGGGCTGAGGGAGTTCTGCGTCCTCCCCTCCCTTTTCAGCTCTCCTCCGGCTTCTTGGAAGACTGATCGCCCCAAAGCAGTATCTTGGCAGATGCTGTAGTAGCGCTTCAGCTCCATGTGTGCCTGGCTAGGGGACAGTGGCTGCAGGTGGGACAAGAGAGGGTCCTGACATTTCTGGGGATACTGTTTATCTTCTGAATGTTCCTGAAAAGGAAAGAGCATGCAAAGAAGTTAGAGGAAATCATCATTTTGTGAAACCTACTGAGGGCACATCTGAGAGTAGTGGGATCATGAAAAGTTAGGGTACATGAAATCTGCTTCTGACTTCCCAACTAAAAAACACCTACCAGATATAGAACATTTGAGAATCACAATAGTCCCTTGAGGAGGGTTGTATAGGACTATAGCCTGGTCTTTTTGAGTTAGAATGAGCTGGATATACAGAGGAACATGTGAAATGATGCTACAAAGATGTAAATCACAAAATCTGGAATGTGGGAAACTCTGTAAGACAAATGACTCAGGTTTTTTCAACAAATAAATCACAACAACAACAACAATCCCATTTACCAGTTGCAAAGTATGGCTCTTATTTGAATTTTGATTCAAATAAACCAACTATGAAAAACTTACAAGACAATTGGGATAATGTGAACACTGATCGGATGTTTAATGATATTAGGGAGTTATTTATTTGCTTAGGGTGATGTATTGCAGTTATACATTTTATAAAGAATCTTCCTTAGAGAGTCTTACAGAAATATTTTTGCTGAAATGTTATGATGTTTGGGATTTGCTTCATAAGAATCCAATGGGCATGGGTGAGTGTAGGGGGAGTGCAGAAGAAATGAAGTAAGATTGGCCGTGAGTTAATTGCATGAGTTAATTGGCCATGAGTTAATTGTCTTTCTACTTTTTTATTTTTGAAAATTTCCATAATAAAAAGTAGAAAGAAAGAAAGAAGAAAGAAAGAAAGAAAGAAAGAAAGAAAGAAAGAAAGAAAGAAAGAAAGAAGAAAGAAAGAAAGAAAGAAAAAAGAAAGGGAAAGAAAACCCAGGATTTTCACCTCAGCTTTCCTACTTATTAGATGTATACTTGGGCAAGTTAATTAAATGTCTTTGAGCCTCATTTGTAAAACAGAAAAGAAGTTGGGAAAAAATAGGTTTAGGATGAGTGGACCCTGAGAGTATGTGGACATTTCTGGTATTTGGTGGGGATATGTGTGTGTTCAACATCTGAATTTCTTTCCATGTTTGAAGAATCGGACACTGTGTCAATCTCGAGTAGCAGGGCAGGTTAGCTCTCATTAGCTCCCATTACGGAAAGCCATAAAAGCCATATATTCACTCTCCGCACATCCCCACCAGTTATCTAGAGCTCTGGCACATAAACCAAGCCCAGTCAATTAGAGATTTGCACCTAAGACTTGAACTGGAGCTGGTGAAGTAGGGAGACTTCAGAATTTGTCTAGCAGTGATGGCAGGCAGTGTCCAGTGTCCAGGGTCTTCCAACCTGATTCTTCCTTAGGCATGAATAGCATTGTCTGAAGTTATTCTCCAGCCTTCTCATTGAGTCTGAGCTACTTGGTATCCTTCCAGTAAATTCCTTTGTCTATATGTTAGTGTCAACAACCAAGAATGCTCCCTACTCTTGCCTTAGTTCCAGGAATCACAGGGCTAGTGCACTGTACATACTCTGACACACTGCTGAATGAATCAGTGCAATGGACCTTTAAAATGATAGAGTGTTTTTAAAACTGTGCTCCACAGAGGTATTCATAGGGAGTCTAGTATAATTTAAAAAATTTTGGTTTTCATTTTGATGGGGTTTTTAAATAATTAATATAAGCATATTGTGTGAATGGCCATTTATAACCAAGATTATGATTGTGCTGGCATCTAGTAATCTTCTAAAAGTGATGATATTTAACATCAAATGCATTATTTTGGAAACTAAGGGACTGGGGACAAATTCTTGACTGTCCTTATGAAATCTCAGGTTTGAGAACATTGATCTAGCATAACTTGTCTCTATTTTCCAGATGTGGAAATTCAGTCCTAAAGAAGAAAAGTGATCCTTCCCAGATTACATATAGGTGAGTGTATTTTTCAGCTCTCTGCAAACCCTCATCACTACCTCCATGACTGGCATGAAGAAACACTGGATTCTTCTGGGTCTGGCTGGCAGAGCCCTCCACTCCCAGATTGTAGGACAGACCTATTTCTCCAAGCTCCTGGCAATGCCAGTCTCTTGCCTCTCTATTCTCTCTTTTGTAGTCTCCACTTTTCTCCTTTTGGCCTTGGAGCCTCCTCAGACCTTAGATCTGCTATAGGCAACTTGAAAATTCTTACCTATTAAAAAAATATTTACAGTAAGAATCTCTAACTGCTTCACGAGGCCTGTCTAAAAAGTGGTTAATTAGCTGTACAGAGACGGCACAAAGCTCAGATCTTCATCATCATGAGTTCTTAAAATTTTATTCCTAATATTTACTTGGAGTTCAGGCAGAGGAATATTGATCTTCTAATACCTCCATTCTTCACTCAGCTTGCTTGGGGAGGCAGGGCTGGCTTGAATTGAAAGGACAAAGATAAGGGTGACCATGAAATTGTCTTGGTTTTCCCCCAAATGCAATGGGAAATAGGACACTTGAAAGAGTCACATTAGCCTCTCTTCTCTGCTTTTCTTGGCTCTGCCCATGTGTGTTTCATTGACACCCTGTTCCCTCTAGGCAGGTGACTCTGGAGGGCATCCTCATACCATGTCCGAGGGTCACAGGCTCCAGTCATTGGGATCTAGCTCAATAGTGGTGATTCCTATTCTAAAGCTCAAATCCGGATCTCATATCTGTTATATACAAAAGATACAAGTAAGGGATCGGGGCCATTGCATTTTGGGGTGGAAGTGGAAGCAAGTCAAGTCAGAGTGTTGAGAAAAGGTATCTTCTGTTTTCCCTCTAATCAAAGACATGGCTTACTTACCATTTGCCCCGGGGCATCTGATAGAAATCTGTCCCTTATTGAAAACTGCCGAATGGGGTGCAGCCTCAGACAGGAAGACTAGGGTGGGTTGAAGGAGAAACGGTTGTAGGTTAAGGTCTACATGGATGAACCATATAGATGCCAATGTTTTGAATATCCTCAAGGTTTGTTCATATCCTCAGCTTCAGGTCCTTACCTCCTCTTTCACGGGAACAAATATTCTTGTTCTACCCAAACTGTGGGACTTCAACTTTGAGAGACTGACTCTCACTCAGGTCATTATAGGTTAATCTAGCCATCCAAACTGGACCTGCCTTCAAGATCAAATTCAGTTCTTACTCTGTCTGTGAAGCCCTTTCCTGAGCATATTGACCTCTTCTCTCATAGCCTCTTCGGCACTTCTATTTCGGTGCTTAATTGCCTTCATCTCATTTCGCAAACATCCTGGGGCTGTTAGTTAACTTCAGCGAGGGTTGCTTTATCTGCTTGTCTAGATTCTAAGCTCCACGAAGGCAGAGACTGTATAATATTCCGGATGTCCCTTCCCTAGCAGATTTCAAGCATGTACCAGACACTGGGATGAGCAGACTTTCCAGCCCAAGCAAAGCGAAGATCAATGCTGAGGCAGCTCTCCTTTTCAGAGAGTCAAAAAGCCCAATAACACACATCATCAGCTTTCCATTTCACAAGCTGGTCAGCACCTTCACACAGGGGCAGATCTAGTAAGGAAAAAAGCTTTCCATGGACCCCAGTGATTCTTGGAATAAGTGGTTTGCTCAAAAGCCAGTCCTCGGGACCCACCAGCAGTGCATGGTACAGAGGCCACCCTACAACGGCAGATCTGGTGTGATATTTGTACCATTGGCCATTTGGGGGCAATGGAAAACTTGGATGGAAAGCAGAAGAAGTCCAGAAACTATCCTATCATCTTGCTAAGCAATGTGAACTCTAGGGAAGACTCACAATGCGCTTTTTGGATTCGATTTCCTACTCTAAAGCGTAGCCAATACCAGCAGATTAGAAGGTGGGTGTGAGATGTGTGTCTCCAGTGGGGCAGCACGAGCGAAAGCAAGTGCTGCTGGACACAAGGCTGGGAAGCTACAGGGCTGGGCACTGTTCTCCCTCTGCCCCTCCAGGGTGTTTACTTGTTGAGGGAAGCTGTGTCTGACACTGATGCATTGACTGTTCTGTCGAGTGAGGATCCGTTTCCGTCTTCTCTGTCTCAACACCATGTAGATCCTGGCATAGACGAGGACAGTCACTCCAAAGGGCAGGTAGAAGGACACCACTGAAGAGTAGATGACAAAGTCAGGGTTGGAGATGGAGCAGACAGTGGGGTCTCCTGTGAGTGAGAGAAAAGGAGAAAGCAAAGCAGTTTGCCAATATGAGACATCGGTGGGGAGCACACAATTTGGCCGCATACCATGTGTGGTGTCTCCACCATTTAAGCCACACGGGGCTTTGGGAAGTAGGGGTTCCGGGCTCACCTCCCCTCTCACTGACTCTCAGTTCACATGCTGCCTCATTTGTGGAGGCTTCCATCAGCTCCTCAGTCAGAAGTAACTCTTCCTTCCTCTGTGCCCCCCAGCCCTCGCCTTGCCTCTTCGGTGTTGTTAGCACACAGGGCTGCTTGTGAAGTTGTGGGGATGGGAGAGATTATGTTGTCAGTTCCCTGAGGGGAGGAGGTCCAATTCATCTTTGTGTTGCTCACAGTTCCCTTAAAAAGAAAATTACCCAGTGATTCCATGCCCGACATTGCTCTTCACCGGGCTGCAAACATGTCTGTCCTTGAAGGGCTCAGTCTGCACAGACAGGCGATCTTCCTGAAGGCCGTGTTAAGTGTCACAGAGGATTGTGGCCTGGGAGGCTGGGGGGAGTGTCATAGAGCAACAGGCCAGAGGCTCCTGGGGGCGAGGCAGCCCCCAGAAAAGGGCCTGCTGGTGCGGAGGCACTAAGGGGTTGTTGAAGGCAAAGAGAGGGAGGCTTCTTTGTTGAGAATGCCAAGTCTCCAACGTGTATCTGAGGTACAGGGCAGGTGGTGGCTGAATGCAGGCAATTCTGTTTTTTGGGGGAATCTCAGGACCCATCAGGGGTAGGATGGGGAATGGGCTGTTAAGGATACTGTCACTGTGGACAATGTGAAATGAGGAGCACCTTTGTCCCTGCTCTATGTCCTGAAATGCACCTGTCACTACACTTTAGAGTCCTTGTGGTTTTGCTTTTTTTTGCTAGCAGATGTTGAAATTCCTCCAATGCCCAGAATAGGGCCTGTAACTTGCCTCATCTGGAAGAGAAAAGGAAAGAAAACGAGTATCTTCCAGATGGTGTGCCAAGGCCTTTATACCCATCATCTTACCTAATCACTGTGGCAACATTATGTGACATAGGAGCCATCACTGACTCTATTCTCAGGCGAGCAGACTAAGGCTCGGAGAGGTTCAGTAAGTGGCCCAGCATCCCACAGCCTGAAAGGGGCAGAGCCTGGATAAGTTTCTCCAGTCACTCTGACCTTACAACCAGTGTTCTTTCTGTGATTTTGACTTGCCTCCCTCTACACTTTGGCTGCCCCCCCATCCCCGGGAATGGCAAATTTACACTTTGCCCTGCACTGGCAGCAACTGCTGTTGGGATACCCAACCAATCTTTATAAAGGGTAGGGGATTCTCAACAACCCCAAATCTGGCCTCAGAAGGTATAGTCACAGGTGTGAGCTATAGAGGAGAGGGCTGTAGCCAGCCATCTGGGCCCCTCATTCTGCCTTTCAGTCTTCTGAGCTAGGCAGAGGCCAGGCCTGGGGTGGGAGACCCGGGTCTGCCATTTACTAACTGTGAACTTGGGCACATTGCTTAACTATGCTAGGCCTCAGCTTCATTATCTGAAAAGAAGGATAAAAATAAGGTCTTGTGAGACTAAATGAGGATAAATGGTAGCTATTATTACTATTTATTCTTTACTATTATTATTTACTATATACCTCCTCTGAGCTGTTTGAACTTAAAAGGCAAGGTATCATTTGGAGTGGAAACCTGTAGAGAGACTTATAAAGAACAATATCTGTGGGGGAGGGAGGGGAGCGACAGCTAATAGTTAAAACAAAAAGTGTACTCACTTCTCAGCGAGGCCTTTTAATGATAGCACTGACACGAGGATCTTTAGGAGTTGCTCCCAAAGTTTTTGATTCTCTTGGGAGGAGGGTAAAATTCAGGAAAAATTAATGTCCTCTCACCAAGTCTCTGTCAACATCCTTTAGAAAACGGCTTATAAAACTTCAAGCAGTGGTCACCAAACGGGCATTTTCTGGTACTCTGGGGGAGACGGGGTTGGAGGTAGGATAGGGTGGCCGCTGCTGGTCTTTCTGAATCTATAAGGAGTCATGTAGGCAGTGATCAGCCCTCTTCCTGAAATCAGCTCCCCTGTTGTCAGCATCTGACCACAATTTAAATGCCTCCCGTGAGAAGATGCCTGAGCACCTTGTGCTAGTGAGAAGGGGGCCAGGATGGTGGCAGGGATAGATACCTTCCCACTATTCGTCTGGTTACCATTGCTGGTGTGCGGGGTATGCCCCATTCGTCCCTCCAGATATACCTTCTACCCTTCTCTACTTTCCTCTGGGTCCTGGGAAGCCGACCTCTGTATTTTATATACTAACTCCAACTTTTTTTTCAAGTTTTTATTTGAATTCCAGTTAGTTAAGGTCCAGTGTAATATTAGTTTCAGGTGTAGAATTTAGTGATTCATCACTGACATATGACAGACACCCAGTGCTCATCGCAACAAGTGCACTCCTTCATACCCAAGGGTATTAACTCCTACTTTTAAAAAGCCAGGAGCAAAAGTGGGTGTAGTATGCTTCTATTTGTGTAGAAAGTAGAAACACCCACACATGCACACACACACACGTGTGTGTGTATGTGTGTGTGTGTGTATACATACTTGTTTCAAGCATTATCTTTAAGATGATTAGTGTTTGCTTCTGGGGAGGGTCATGGGGCAGCTAACGATCTAAGGTAGAAGGGAGGCCTACATATATGTGTGCCTGTGTAACCCCTTATACCTTGTGTTTTATGGGCAAGTATTTATTTTTCCATTAAAATATTGAAAGCATACACACGAGAGAGAGCGAAGAGAGAACACAGAGCTATTTCAGAGTTGCTGGCCACTGAAGGCCCTCCATGTACAATCACTGAGCCTGCACAGTCATCCCTTTCTGCCTCTCTTATCTGAGTAAACTGCTGCCCATCCTTAGATTGAGCTCTGCGGCCTCTCCCACAATTTCTCCAGGCCACGAAGTCCTGTGAGGCCTGTCAATGGGTAAAGTGACCCTGGAGGCTGGTGGCCAGTGAATGAGACCCTGCCCTGGCTCCCACTGGGCCTGGTCTGGGTATGTGTCCTGTTGGCAGGGCAGCAATTCTGGAAGCTTCTCTCTGCTGAGTTCCAGATGAGGTGGTGAGGGCAGTGAGCCTCCCCCCACCCCACCCGGAGATGAGCTGCCTTGTCATGATTATTTAACCAAGACAGTACTGTGCTATTAGTATACTAGTTATTGGATGAATATGAGAATGACAAATACATGAGTGAAGTGGACAAATGAGCCTTTTACGTCAGCACATAAGCAGTTGCTGGCTGGAAGATAATGGGGAAAACCAGAGGGTTATGCCTCATTCTCTGAGATCGAGGATGTTTACCCCAACTAATCTTAACATTTAAGGAAGAAAGGATGATAAGAAGAACTCATCGACTTACCCATTCAACAAAAGTTTATGGAGAACCTACTCTGTTCCAGGCACCATGCTGGGCGACAAAAACACTAAATAGCTCCACAAAGGGGTGGAAGAGGCTTTTGCGGGCTAGCCTGGGAGCTTGAGCCCCACAGTGATGTGAAGGGCAAGGCCAAAAGCAGGTTGACTTGACAGGTTCATGAACTTAAAGCTCCTGGAAGGATTTGTCTTCACCTTGTCCCCAAAGACAGGAGAGCCTGATGCACCTGAATTCAGGATGAGCCTGTTATTCTTTTAACTATGTGTTTCTCAACCAGGCTTCCACCAGCTCCAGTGTTCTGAAAGCCAGGTGAGGGATTCTATTGCTCAAATCTAGATAGTAGTCTTCCATTTCCTTGTTTCAAAGGAAAATTGAGACTATTTAGTCTTGTACCTGTGAAATAAAAGTATTAGGTTGTCCATTCAGGGATTCTTAGCGTTTCCTTTAGTACCGGTACTGCATGCTGTCAATGATGGGGTATTTAGCTAGACTGCTGGGCCCCTGCTGGGAGCTGGGGCAACACTGATCAGCCAGGCCCCCCCAACCTTGGAACTCTCTGTGACCGAAGATCCTGCCTTATGTGCATATCTAGAAGTGCACGTTGCATCTCGGACAATAAGAACAACGCCAAGATGAAGGAAACTGAAGTTCAACTTTTTTCTGCCTTATGTCGTCTGACAATTCACAATCCCATATGGCAGCTCATTTCATTAAAAAGAGCTCTGCCAGGAAGTTCCTTTGTGTTGCAGTGCTTAGTGAAAATCCAGCCCCTTCCACTCTCAGGTGTCATTGGCGGTACCCTGCCCTTTCCTCCTCTACTTTTCACAGGGTGAGTAGAAACAAATGGCTGAGAGGAGTCATTTATATTGGGCTTTCGAATGAACTTGGGAGCTTCCTTATAGATGGAAGAGCTGCTAGAGGAACCGACATCCGTCAAGATAATGAAGCTGTACTCTGAAGGTCAGACAGAGGCAGGGAAGCATAGCCGGCTGCCTCGCCTTGAGTTCTGCTCACTAATTCCCTGAACTGTGTTCTAGGACGAGGTGACTGGTCTCTATAACCACCAGCAGAACTGCTGCTACTCAGATTTTCTCTGGAGCAGGTGCAGAGTTAAATTTGGACATACAGAACCCTTTTCTAACACACAGTAATCACAAGAGTGGTAGCTAATATCCACTGGGCCTTTAAAATGGACCTGACACTTGGATGCTATATATGAATAAATGGAGGGCTTACTATAGTCTTATTAATAAACTTAAAAGTAAGAGAGAGAGGGGCCCCTGGCTGGCTCAGTCAGAGGAATATGATCTTGGGGTGGTGAGTTCAAGCCCCACGTTGGGTGTAGAGATTACTATAATAAATAAATGAATGAATGACTTAAAAAAAGTTGCAATAGAATAAATCATGTACTTCTTTAAAGTAAGAGAGAGATTGAAAGAGATGAGAGAGAAGCGAGCATTTTTGCCTTCTCAATGCTATATTTGAAAATCCACTTGGAGAGACAGTTTTCTGAGTTTTGTTTCTGGAATAATAATGATCTCACTGGTGGCAACACCACTGCAATTAGCTCATCATTCATCTTCACTTTAGATGTTGACATTAACTGGGAACTCTGTCTACTGTCAGATGTTGAGACTGTTTTTAACTGTTACTAGGGTGTGTGTGTGTGTGTGTGTGTGTGTGTGTGTGAGAGAGAGAGAGAGAGAGAGAGACAGAATGAGTAAAACAGCCCCCCCCCCACCTCCCAGAATGAGTAAGAGGAGCCACTTCGCAGACTGAATGTTGGTGGGGGTTTGCTGCTGACCAGGGGTAAGCAGTGCCGGGGTCTGCCAGTAGTACTGAGTTCCCATATGTATTTTTGTGTAGATACTAAGATATAGAAGGTGGCTTAGTTAGCAGATGAACCCAAAAAGTATATTTAACACTCATCAAAAATAGTATTTTAATGCCAGGCAGCCTCTCAGAGTTGTGTTAGGGAATGTTGCTTTGGGGAGTATGTGTGTGTCCACAGCCATGTTTGTGTGTATAAAGTGTGGTTCAATGAAAATAACAAAGTAACGAATGGTAAAGAGTAATGCAAACATGATAGTAACATCATATTTTAGGAACACCCTGAGTTAACTAGGCAAATATTCGTTGGATGACTCAACATGACATTGACTTAACCTTCAATGTAGCTGACAAAGAAACCTGACCTTGAGCGTATGGTGTGTGTTTGGCCGGTCTACATATGTTACTCCAACTTAATCCTCACTTAATTATAAAAAAGCTCTATGAAGCAAGTACAGTGGAATTATATCATATGTAGTGGCAGATTCTAAAGTCGGCAATTAAAGTGAACATTATCTAGCACTGAAATTTGCTTTGAAAAATCTCCTGAATCACATATGAAGATATACATGGTTTTACTAGAGCCCCGGAGAGTAGTGAGAAAAGATGTATGATACATACATTACTGTGTCATATATTGTAAAGAGTTCAAACACAACATGCAGTTTCAGAAATGAAGTTGCTGGGCTTATGTGCAGGGGGGCCATATGAAAAAATAAATGCTGGAAACTTTCCACCTAAATATATAGACTCAGTCTATATATTTAAATTTGCTCAAGTGTATGCCTCAGTGTATTATTATCCCAAATTTATCAATAAGAAAACTTAGAAAAGCTAAGTAGCTTTTTTTTTTTTTTTCACAACAAGAGTGGTAGCTAATATCCACTGGGCCTTTACATTTTGGGATAATAATACACTGAAGCATACACTTGAGCAAATTTAAATATATAGACTACTTACAGCTGGTAAGTAGCAGAACTGAAGTTTGAATGTAGGTTTTTCTGACTCCAGAGTCTCTGTCTTCCTAAATGTGTTTTGACTTTTAAATCACTGGCCAGCAAATGACTCTTTGATGACTATTCATAAGTTAGGATTTGCCTGTATTTATATGCAATGTGTTACCTATAATATCTGTATACATATAAATACACAGCTATGTGACTTGTACATATACACCAGAAACTAATGAACTTGGAAGATAGTAGGAATTAAACAAATCCAGATGAACACTAGAACCTGACTCAATTAGTTCTCAGCAAATACTCAGTGTTCACTGTCAATACCTTTAACTTTATTATATGTGCTAGTAGTTTTCATTCAACACATGAAATTCCTGAGGCTGAAAGATGTATATGGAATAGCCAAAGAAGGCATTGATCCATATGAGGTGTAAATCTGGATCGGTGTCTTGCATCTAAAAACCAAACATCTCAGATATTCACATTGTTAATCCATCTGTCCATCCATCCACCCATCTGTCCGTCCATCCATCCGATAGAAGATGCACCATGTGCCAACCATCATGGCCAGAATTTTTGTATATTAAGATATAAAAATATAGTCTCCAATAATTTAGGGATCTATACCAATTCCCAAACACCAGAAATGATTTTTGTTTAGTAAAAAATTAGAAATATATATCCCATTTGAGGGCCTTTATAGTGTTATTTTGCCTTGGAAGTCCATCATGAATTGTCATCTTTTCATTAGCAAATCTCACCTGAATTATTAATATAGTTTAATGTTCTAACTGATACATCGCTTCCCATGAATACAATGACATTTCTTTCAAAATAAGGATAGGCCAGAATTTTCACTAACTGGGGAAGAACTTTATGTGCCAATAATTGATGAGGTTCTGCTTTGTGCTTGAATCAAAACCCAAAGCTTTGCAGCCTATGGCATCCTTATTTGGTTCTGAAGTATGCTGATCAGGGTCAGAAACTTCCAGGCTCAGCACCACTCACAGCCACTCAGGTGTGCCGTGAATCACATGGGTGTCGTGAGAGGGGCCATCATTGTTACCTGTGGTGTTGAAGCCAAAGAGGAGAGGGCAGGACACAGCAAAGGCCAGTACCCAGACGGCTGTAATCATGAGGGCCACGCGCCGACAGGAGCTCTGTCCAGTGCCATGTTGGTAGTGAACTGGCATGACCACTGCGGTGTACCTGTGAAAGGGAGCAGGGAGGGATGGCCATGATGAGAAGGGGTGGGGGAATCTTTCCAAAAGTGGACAGATGTTCCTAGAGAACTAATCTAGGTGATCCATGTGGCAGGAGCAAAAGAGTTTGGTTGGAGAAAGAGAGAGAGGGTATTTGAGTGAAAATGTAGAAAGGCTGAGCTAAGAGAGATGAAGAACTCCCCGAGCAGGGAAAGGGGGAAAGAAGAATAAAGTTAGTAAAGTAATGGACTGGGCCGCTGGCAGGCTCTTCCCCGCACACCTGAAACTTGTACTTGCATACCCGAATTCCCAAGACTCTGGGTGCTGGTCTGTGTGCCTTTACTTTCTCCCACGGTTTTCCAGACAATGCTAGAACTGTGCCCAAAGAGGATGTCTACCCCTGCTTGTATCCTAATATAAATTCTAACCCTCCTAGTGACAACTATTCCAAGTGGTGGAGATTTTAAAAATAGAGGTGAGTAATATCTAGTGAAGGCTTATTTCAAAATCCAGTTTTCATGCTCTCTTAGTCCATTCAGGCAGCTCTGTCAAAAATAGCAGAGACTCGGTGGCTTACACAACAAACATTTATTTCTCACAGTTCAGAAGGCTGCGAGGTCCAAGATCAAGGCACTGGCAGATTCAGTGTCTGGTGAGGCCCCACTTCCTTGTGGAAAATAGAGGACTATTTTCTCACTGTGTCTTCACATGACAGAAGGGGCTGGGGTCTCCTTTCTAAGGGCACTGATCTCATTCATGAGGGCTCCACCCTCATGACCTTATTATCACCCAAAGGTCCCACCTCTTAATACCATCACTTTGGGGGGTAGGATATCAACATATGAACTTGGGGGAGCCACAAATATTCGGTCTACAGCACATGCTTTTGCATGGTCAACGCACAGTTCTTTGTGTTACTGGACATCGTCTTTTCCATGGCAACTCCTCTCACACATTTCTAGCTACTGAGCCAAAAGATAGCTGATCCTGTACATTTACTTATGATGTCTTCCCATTTATCCATGCATCTCTTTCCTACCAGCTGCTCTCTGTGATGGCCACAGCCTCCTGGCTGGTCCCTGCTGCAGGCTCTAAAAGTAGATTTCATCATGTCCTCCCCATCCTGGATCCCCCAGATGGAAACTGCTTGAGAAAGGCGAATTCTAGATGGCCTCCAAGATGCCTGCCCTGTACAATCCCCCACACTGAATGGAGGCTGAACTTGAGAATACCATGTGATGTCACTGCTGTGATTAGATTACTAATCAATAGACTGAGTTAATCAAAAGGGTGGGCCTGGCTTAACCAGGTAAGCCCTTAAAAGGGACTGGACAGGGGCGCCTGGGTGACTCAGTTGGTTAAGCGACTGCCTTCGGCTCAGGTCATGATCCCAGGGTCCTGGGATCAAGCCCCGCGTCGGGCTCCCTGCTCCGCGGGAGGCCCGCTTCTCCCTCTCCCACTCCCCCTGCTTGTGTTCCCTCTCTCGCTGTCTCTCTCTCTCTAATAAATAAAATCTTAAAAAAAAAAAAAAGGGACTGGACAAGTTCAATAATGAGAAACTGCATGCCTCATGGCTGAAGAGACATAGATCCCATACGATTTGTTACTTGATGACTCAAGTCATGTTGTAGACTTGGTATTCCTCAGCGGTCCTTGCACCATGCAAGTAGTACAAAGCTGTTGATTGCTTGCCTTGTGGATCCTGAAGGCCTTCCACATAAGAGGACAATTCTAATCCTAGCCACGCTCAAGGAATCTAGTGTGTATAGCTCTGTCTACATAGGCTCAAGTTTTCTTTGTCTTCTCAGTGTCCAGGGAAGCTAGCGGTCAGATTCAGAGCAGGATCCTCCCTAGCTCCTCTTGTGTCCCTCAAGGCTTGGGGCCGAGGAAGGGGAGAACAGACCCTGGGCTGGAGGGGGTGGGGCACACATGATCGTCCTCTGTGAGCCAGGCTGCCCAAATCCCCACCTTGTGTGTATCTGGCCTTAGAGTTTATGTGTTAGCATTTGCATTCCCACAAGAGCAGCTTTAGCGACTCTGCAAGACTTGGCCTTGGTACCATGATGTGTGACAGAGGTGGCTTCTTTCTCAAGAGGGAGAAACAGAGGTCTTTATTTAATAAGGTCAGATTAAGATCCCACCATCCACCCCAACGGAGGCCTGTGAGAACTCAGTTCCCCTCTTCTGATGCACAGATGTTACAAATCCTCCCTTGAGTCCCTAAACTGGTGATCAAGGAGCAGGCGAGTAGCATCTGGTGTTCCTCTAGGCTTGTCACTCTCCTCAGGACTTTGGACTCTGCTGGGGCTGGGGGCTGGGGCTTTGAGTCAGGTAGGTCTGGCCCCTAGCAGTGGTCCCTGAGGCGCCTTGGAGGGGAGGCTGAGCCTTGAGCCCAAAGGGCTATGGTGACCAAATAGCTGTTGGGAGATGGGGAGGAAAGGTAAGACCCACTTCCTTCTCTCCAGACCTACTGTTGTGCCCCGGCCTTCTATTTACATAATGTCCATTGATACTGCCCCATTCATTCAGGGGTGTGCTGCTAAATAGCTAACAACTGGCTCTCCAGGTGAAAAACAGCCCTAATTGGTACCATTTGTCTATTTTCATGGTATAAATACTCCCACCGTTGCCCGTTTCAAGCTACACCAAAGGTTTAATACCCAGCTCAGCCAATTCCTAAAATTTTGCCTTTCAGCTCTTGCTAGTCATCATGAGCTGGCTGCAAGCGCGCCGCTGAGCAAATTGTCCTAGGTATACGCTGATGTTCCGCAACTCCGTGAACGCTCCTTGTTAATTCACTACGTGTAGGGAACGCTGGCTCCTTTTTATAGAGGAGGAATCGGAGACAGAGAGGGGTGACTTGATGAACCCAAGGTCCCCCAGCTGGTGGTGGAAGACCCGGGTATCCCACCTCTGAGGCCAGTGTCTCTCCTGTGTGCCCCTCACCCTCTCAAGGCCACTGTCAAGTCTCTGAGGCCCGGTGGGGTTGAGGGCTTCCTCAAGACAGCAGGCACTAAAGGGTGGTTTCTATCTGAGAGCACTTTGGATTCCCAGAATGTTCCCCAATTAGTTTGAGTCTATCAATTACCTGAGAGGGAGGGGGTGGGTTGGGGGGTGTGTGTGTCCTGTTAAAAATACAGATTTCCAGGGCCACGTCCCTGGCTATTCTGATTAAGTACTTCCAGAGTGGAACCCAGAAAGGTGCGTTTTGAACAAGCCAGGTTATCTTACAATCGGGCAAATTTGAGAAAAATTTCTGCCTTAAGGGAAATTTCGGTCAGAAATTCTTGTTAACTTGGGTAACAAGTGAGAGATGAAACTACACTGATCAGTGTTACGATTCATTTTTTTTGTATTGTTTCCCGAACACGATTAAACTCTTGTTATAAACGAGGCCCCCGAATTCGCCCGCACGCGGGATTTTCCCCTCCAGGGAGCCAGCCGCGGGATCGGAGACGCAGGTGCCGTTCCGGAGCTAGCCAGCAGAGGGCGCCCTAATGCAGCGAGAGCCCCCGGCGCGGCGGGTGAGAAGTTCACGCTCACCTGCTGGCTCCTCGGGCCCCGTGCGGAGGCAGGGCGGGAAGGCTCGGCCCGGCGGGGTCCCGAAGGCCTGCGGGGACCCTGAATCCTCACCCGGGCAGACTCTGGTCTCCTCCCGAATGGGCCCCAGGTGACCGCCCTCAGCGAGGGCAGGGACGCGAGCTGGAGGCTGGCCTGGGCCGCCTGGAACCCGCCGCGGCGCTCACCGCGCTGTTCCACTCTGCGCGCACCCCTCCCGCTCCCTCGCCTCCTCTCCTGGGAGCTCCTTGTTCACCCGGCTCTCTCTGGCATGGCCAGAACCCTGGCAGCGTGCAAGGTGGTTAAGTCCGTGGCCGTTGGAAACAGACTGATTAGTGTCTGAATCCCAGTTCTTCCATTTAACTGCGTGGCCTTGGGCCAGAATTTGGCTGCCCTGAGACTCAATTTCCTTATCTGTACATTGGGAGTAATGATGCAGCCGGATAGCGCTGTTAAGAACGTTGAATAAGATTATCTCTGTGAAGTCTTTTAGCACAATGTCTGGTACCTATTAAGCATTAAAGAAAAACAACACAAAAACCAAACAGTATTATTATTATTATTGTTGTCATATTATTGTGCTAGCCCAAGGGATCTGTGATTATCCTTATCAGTATGTTTATGGGTATCTGCCCCTTGTTCCTGGGAACATTAAACGGAACATTAAATGTATTTATTTATCAAACAAGTATATAACACTTTCTATATGCTAGCAGCTGTTTGAAGTGCTTTACAAATATTAACTCATTTCATCCTTGTGATAACTCTGTTGCTATGGTCTTCACTAAACAGGTAAGGGAACTGAGGCCCAGAGAGGTTAACTGCTCACATTGCTATCAGATGGTAGAGCCAGGTGTTGTAGCCAGGCAGTGGGGGCTCCAGAGCTAGGGGCCCAGAGTGTGGAAGGTGCCCCTGCATCAGGCAGCGTGCTATAGAAGAAGGAGGGTGACTGGATTCCTACTCCTGCATCTTCCGGCGGTGTGATCCGGGCAGGCTACACGGTCTAGCCTCAGACTCTTCACTTGTAAAATGAGGTTAATACCCCTATCTTGCTGGGGTGCTGCAAGAATGAAAAGCTCTTAGCTTGGCCCATGGTACATGCTACAGAAATGGTAGCTATTTGATGGTTGCTGCTTTTAGACTCATGCAAGTTCAGATTACCAAGGAGGAGCCAGGGCACCGAAGACATAGGAAATATGTTTCCTTTACTCCAAGGAAAGAGCACCTATAGTGGCGGCTGCTGACATGGCCAGCGGCCTCGCTCTTGGTGCCCCATCCCTACTTCTACCATGCGGGAGTCGGGAGACTCTGGTTCTAGTCCCAGACCTGTCTCAGAGGCTGCGGAAGCCCCTACAGCATGTAACATTTCTGCACAAATGAGTTAAACTATAATGCCCCTTCTGACTCCCAGTTCTGTGACTGGGGTGTTGTAGGCTTGTCACTCTACTGAAAGTCTCAGGACCCTGGTGGAACGTGACCTCCACCTGAAGCCCTGTCCTAGGCTGGGAGGTGTGTGTGTGTGTCGGTGGGGGGGGAGACTGATATGGGTGCCCCCCTTGGGAAGCTGGCCGTGGGGGAGGAAAGAGGCTGGCCTGGGTGGGAGGGCTTGAGTCTAACTCCCTGCCTGGGTTTAATGAGCCCCAGGGCTCTGTGAGGGCTGCTTTTCACCACCTTTTATTTGGTCAGACAGGGGGCTCAATAAATCTTTAGTTCTGTGGACTCCCCTTGTGGAATTGTTGAAGGAGAAAGCTTTTTGCAAATGACTGGAAAGCCCTTTGCAAATATAAAGTGCTTATTTAGATGCAAACGAAAAATCCAAGGTGCCTGTGACTCATCTGGTACCTATTGTGCTTGCTTCAAAGAGCGGGGGCTCGCCTGTGTGACGGGTGCCGTTTGAGAGCCACTTAAAGAACTCTCTGGTGAATGAATTTGGTCGCATTATTCCTGGGCCCCTAGTGGAGGACTCGAATTCTCACCGCTCAGAACGTGTCCTCCTCCCCTGACACTTTCTCAGCCCTCTCCCCAAAGCTAGCTCTGACCCAGGATGCTGTGGGAGGGGGCTGGCCCCCTGGGGAGGCAAGGCGCCAAGGAGGGGGGTGGGGGGTGAAGGGGCTTGTGCTTTTTAAAAAAGAAAAGGCAGCATTAATGCAAGCATCCAGGGCTATGCCTAAGAATCTAATGACAATAGTATTACTTGCTTTCAAAACCTCTCTTTATCATTTCGTTTCCTTTCCTAGCTCTTACTACCCTGTTAGTACATACCAAGGCTTCACGGCCAAAAAAATGCTGAATCCATTTGGTCAAGTTTGTCAGACTGGTGAGTAGCATTGTGTGCAGACCAAAGGTCTGCATGAATGACTGCATTTTTAATGAGTTGACCAGCTATTTGGCATCCCATGAACAGAATTTAATGCTGTGTACTGCATACGGCCCTGAAGGATGATGAAGACAGCTTTTCCAAGGCCGATTTTCATTCCTAGAACAGAGGAGAGCCTCCATCTTGAGGTTTGGTGAGGATGGGTTCATGTCGACACACAAGGCAAGAAGAAAGCATCCTTCTCCACTGGGGTCTAAGGCCTGGCTTGGTTCCTGAGTTCAGGTAGTGAGGGCAATGCATTCTGGGGCTTTTCCTCTAGGTCACAGAAACCAATTCAGGCTTTACTCTTTTGGTTGTGGTGGAAGGTGGAAGTGAATGTCAAGCATGGATGCCGCCAGTAAAAGGATGCTCTTGTGCAGTTGGAAAGAGGCACCCTCTCCTGGCCAACTCCAGGTTTGCAGAGAAAGGCTGGCTGAATTCAGTTCCCAGATGCTTGTGCAGGGCACAACCTCACCTGCCAGCACCCCACATGTGGATGTGTGTGGGTGGAGTGTGTAGGCACCCTCTCAAGAGGGTAGAAAGGAGAACCAGGAGGCAAGGAGGGGGCTGCCAAAGAGCCTCTCCTAGTAGCTCTTTGTACAGTTCCTGGCTCCCTGCTCCAAGGCTGATCTTCACCCCCTGGCTCATGTTCTTTCTGAAGGTGCATCTTTGTACTATAAACAGTGGCTACCTTCAGACAAGGACCACTCAGTTCCGTTTGATATTCTTTGTTCAACTTCTGTAACAGGAACAGCAGGGAGACTCCCAGGTGATAAGGAGCTAGGACTAGTGTACGGGTTTGGGGTGGTAGAGGTGATGATAAGCAAACCAGAGGCAGTCTGCTTCTTATATCACTTATATATTTAGGTACTAAGTGTCCAGAAATCACACAAAAGACTTACATGTTCTAAGCAGAGTTCTATTCTCAAAGAGTGAAATATATTATAAAATCCCTAACTATCCCTTCATTTTAAAACAGCTTTATCAAGATATAATCCACATATCACACAATGCATTCACTTAAAGTGTGTAATTCAATGTTTTGGGGTGTATTTATAGAATCATGTGACTATCTCCCTTTATTTTTAAACACACTCTTTAATGGTATGGGTCCCAGCCTTATGGACACATTCTTTAATTCTCCTTCTCAGTTGGAGAGCCAATTCAAGTGGTAAAAGTCAAAAGACTATCTGGTTGACTGATTGGTCAGCAGTATCACTAGGGGGCAGGGTTTCGGATCCATTTTTTGGTTATTGTTCAAGATTTCCATCTCAGCACCTGAAAGGGAGTTTAGGCTGCTGATAGAGAGGGCACAACCCTGGGTCATGCAAATGTCAAACATTGGGAAACGAGGAGGACCTGCTTTAGGACCTGGAGATGCCTTGAGATAGTTAAAGAGAAAGTACTGTGAGAGTTCAGGGATGACTGAAACAAGTTGTAGAAATTTGCAAGGGCTTTGTGGGACAGGGGGCAGGTGGGGTAGACCTTGAAGCAAGAGATGAATATGGGGCAACCCGGAAAGAGATGAGATTGAGAAGATAGACTGAGGCCGTAGTGCAGCAAACTTTGAATCTTGGGCTGGGAAGGTAATTCTGATATTTACTCCCCAGGCCAAGGAGACGCTGAAGAGTTTTGGGGAGGGCAATGGACATTTGAACTTTACTGCCGGGGGATCGATTCAGAGAGTGGCGTGTAGGACCAGTTAGGAGGCTGTGGCAGAAGTCTGGTGACAGGTCATAGGAACCAACAGTAAACACGCACAGTAAGAAAGGAAAGATAGGGGCAAATCTGGGGGCAAAATGGCCAAAAATGGAGTCTATAAGCCTTGACTGCTTAGATGTGGGAGATGAAGAAGAGGAAGGGGACAAAACCTGAGATTGTAAGGCAATGATGCTGCCAATAAGGGATGATCAAGGCAAGATGGTTTGGTGCTTTGATCGTTTGGCTTTTAACGTGTCAAGGAGCCAGTGCGCTGTCTAGGTGGTAATATGGTTTGAAACTCAGGGGAGATCTTAGGGGTGTAGCTGGAGATTTGAGGGGGCTTAGCACAAAGCCCAAGATTATGAACTTGGAGTCAGATAGACATGAATTCCAATGCTGGTACTGCTCCATACGAGGGGTGTGACTTTAGGCCAATTCCTTAATCCCCCTGAGAAGCGGAAATGAAGATAATAGTAGCAGATGAGTTGTTGTGAAGATGGAAGGAGGGAGTGCCTGGCAAAGCCTTAGCACAGTAGGTAAGTTCTCAATGATTGGCAGACCTTGTCTGGGTTCCCCATTCAAGCTAAGGAGAGGGTGGATGGTACTGCTGGGAGAAGGGGTGGAGGAGAGGGAAGAGGTGGACAGTGGATGGGGAGGGAGGCAGGAGGGGACTCAGAGAAGGGAAGGGTGGAGGCTCTTGAGTAGCAAGAGAGGCCTCAGACTGGAGGGCGAACTTCTTTCCCCAGGGCTCTCTGTGGGCCTGGAAATGTCCAGGGGAGCCATGGGTGCGTCCAAGGCCCAGGTGGGGGAAAGGGGGAAAGAGGTGAGGAAACCACACAAGAGGAGAAGCGAGCAACAGAGGCGCCCAGGGCCAGGGCAGCCCGCTCTTGGGGATGGAAAGAGATACTACTCAGATGGAACGTCCACAGATTTGAGTCACAGTCACAGAGATCCACTCCAGCAACCAAAAAGCAATTCTAAAGAGACATCATTGTTTACTTGTTTGCCTTAAACTCTATGAAGGAAATAAATAAATAAATAAATAGATCACAGCCATACTTCCTAAAATCGCCCTTCTCCCCATCCACTTCTGTCCTCTCTCCCTTCCTTGCAAATCCTCCCAAGCTTTTCTCTCTCCTCTCCCTCTTCCTCTTTTCCCCTCCCTTCTTAAAAAAAACAGCAACATAATAACAGGAAGTTTTCCTCCCAACTCTTGTCAGCTCCCCTTCTGTCTTTGTCCCCCTCCCCCTTTGCCCCCAGTTAGGAATCACAAAAGCCCCCAAAGGCAAACCCAGAATCCTCTCTAGGGCTCTGGGAGGAAGGAAAGCCTAGGAAAGCTTATGGGATGATTGTTTTTCTCCTGCCACAGGGGTTTCTTCTCTACTGCAAACCATAGTTTAAAAGAAAAATAGCAAGAAGAAGATGTCCCAGGGGTTAAGCTCCACTTGGCGGAGACCCCAGTGCCCTCAAACGCAAAGCCTGGGCGCCCCAAACAGCAGGAGCAGCTTCCCCAGGCTGGTTTCCCACACCGCCTGGCAGCCAACATCTGCTGGCAGGGGAATCCCAGCCCTACCTGTCGATGCTGATGGCGCAGAGGTTCAGGATGCTGGCGGTACACATCATGACATCCAGGGTGACGAAAACATCGCAGCAAACGCGGCTGAAGTTCCAGACTCCACCTGTCACCTGAGCGGCAGAGACAAGGCGGTCAGTGTTTTCCCCTCACGACCCAGTCAACTCTGCTGCCTTCCCGCAGCTCCCCTGCACATGCGGACGTGCCCTCCCTGTGGTTAGCACCGTTGCTGCCAAGGGCAGGCAGACGCTGAGGGCGTGCCAGGCAGCTCAGCATGGTCACCCCAGAGAGGACAAATTTCATGGAATGTGAGAACATTAGAGCTGGAATTCGTCCAGTGTTTCTCAAAGTGGGGTCGGCAGTGGGGTTTAGAGATGCACATTTCTGAACCCTTCCCTAGGCCTACTGAGTTAGAATCTCTGAATCTGGATCTGATTCATTTTCATCTTTAAATACCCCCTCCAGTCCTCCCCTGCCCCCACGCCAGTACACCAGGGTTTGAGAATAACCAATCTTGTTCAAACTCAGGAGGCAACTAAAGCTCATCGTGGTTAAGTTATGATCGGGCCCATAGATGTCCAGCTGGTAGTGAAAGAGCTTGGGTAAGAGCCAGATGTGTGCCCTGGGCCCAAACTGCCTTTCTGAAGCCCTCTGCACAGTGGAGAGCTCACCGTGTACCCAGGGAATAAGCGGAAGACACATTCTCCACGAAACTTACCTCTAAAATGAAAATCTATCTGGCTGCTGGTTTTAAAGCTGGGGAGCATTCTGGGACAGTATCTGTAAGAACCTATGTGAAATCAGTCTGTGGCAGCCTGCCTGCCTTGGACACCCCAGTTTCAGTCCCCAGGAGGTGGGGGGGAAAGGTGGGTGCAGGGCATTGGAAAGGGGCGCAGGTCCTCTCTCCCACTTCCAGCACCAGGGAGGACAGTCCTGACCTCACGCATTTACATGTGGGTTCCAAGCTCTGAAACTTCCTCCCGCTAATGTAATTTAATTTAGATTCTAGCACATTTCTATTTTGTTTTAAATGCTTTTTTTACATAACCTAATCAAACCAGAGAGGTGTGTCAGGGTTGTCACTTTCAGAGTGTCCATAGACTCCATCTTTGGGCCCCAAGGCTTTTGGGCATTTGCCCCTTCCTGTCCGTGGGGACCATGGTTCTCAAGGAGAAACCCCGTGAAGCTTGGTGCCCCAGCTGCAGCTGCGTGTGCATGATATCCCTGCTGGGCAAGCCCGGTGGCTGTTTAAAGGGAAGGGGAGTGAAAAATGGGTACAGTAGCCTCTAAAGTAGCTTCTCAAGGGAAAATGGGAGAGCGCGTAAAGATGGTGCAGTTGCTCTGGTTCGTTTTCGTCACCCAAGATTCTTGTTACCTGTCCAGGTCCCTTTCCTGTTCATTCCTGATTTATCCCACTAAAGAAAGGTTCGGAGAGCCTCTCTCCCCTAATCACTTCTTTCCCCTTCGGTTTATTTCTTTTCAGCATCCGTTTTTATCCCTGTATTTGGTCATCTCCAGACTATTTTGAGAAACCCTGACCAAAGATATTTTGTCTGAAAGCAACAAGGCAAAGTTCAAACTAGGAAAGAAGTAATTGTTTTTGTTCATTAGGTTGTGGATTTACTTTCTTTCAGCTCAACCATTTGGCTCTATAGAAATAAGGCCTAATATGAATTTAAAAGAATTCTGAGAATGAGAAACTCGTAAAAGGGGAGGCATACAGTCATAATAGCACACTGATTTACGGGAGCCAGGGGAAGAAAGATGGTTTTCTCAGCACATAGGATGGTTGTATGCTGTGAAAGCTTCTTGCAGAAGCAATGAATATAAAAACCCGGCAGGTTTTTATATGAAATCTCATTTTAACATATGCCTACTATGCAATATATGTCTTAAATTGGATAAAACTCACTTTTTGTTCTGTAAAATTGTGAATGCCTGTTTGTGTCTGTGAGCTGGGGTGAAAATGTAGGTACGAGAGGATAGTTGCAACAACAGCAAACTCCAGTGCTTGCTGGGTGTTTATTTGTTCATTCATTCATTCATAAAGCAAGGGGTTGTGAAGCCCTTAATACTTAGTTCATAGAAGGAGGGTTTGTTATGTGTTTTAAGAGGTTTTAAAAATGTACTTCGGACCCTGGCCTTGAAGAACTGATATGGTAACTGAGGAGCAAGGCATTCTTAAATAAAATAACCAGAGATCATCATGAGGGCCGAACACTGTTAATACAATCTAACGTTTACTGAAAACTTACTTTACATGGGTCACTGGCCCACATAACCCGTTTTCGGGAATTTCTACAGCTTTGAAACTTTAGATTCTGAAAACTGAGTTTGTTTTTTTACTGTGTGTGCTCTTAAAGCTTTTGGGGGACAAATTATACACTTATTTTATGGGAAAGTAAATGACTGTTACTTAATTCTGTAGGAGCAGGGACTCTGACTTGTTTGCTGCTGCATCCCGGGCTCCTAGAGCAGGGCCCAGCACACAGATATATTCTGGAAGAGTGAATGGTCTCTGATCTACTCTGTATTCATACTAATAGCTAACATTTATTGAATGCTTACTAAGTCTTGATGTTCTGCAAAGCACTTTGCATACATGGCCTCTTGGCTGCTTCTCATCCTGTGAGGGGTGGCTACTGTTTTCACGGCAGAGAAAGGGCCAGAAACTGGGAGAGGGTCAGCACCCCACTCAGGGTGGCACAGCCAGCAGAAGCAGACAGCCCACAGAAAAGTAGGTCACGACCTGCCCTGCTCCAGGGGAGCGTCAGGTCGGGAGGGGCAGGTGCTGGAAAAGGATGGGAATGGGCAGACTCAAGGGGAAGGGAGAAAACCATGTGCTCAGCAAGGATTTTTGTGTGACAAACGGCATCACCTCCCTTCTAGGAAATGAGGCACCCTCTTTCTGATCGCCTCTATCACAGGGTTCCAAAAACAGTGCAAAAGACAGGGGTGGCTGCTGGCCTTGGGGTCTAGTGAAAGCACACACCTGGCAGGTTTTTTGCTACCCTGCTTCTTAAGCCCCTCACGGCCAAAGCCCTTCAAGCCGCCCCCTGGCTTCTCCTGTGGCCCCCCCCCCCCCCCCCCCCCCCCGCCAATTCTGGCTGTCCTCGTCTCCTGTCTCTAATTCCACCATGAAAATCTCCATTCTCCTTGATCTCAGCGAAGTGTCAAAAAGAAAACAGTCTGATCAGCGGATCGAAGTAACTCCCACTAAGGTGCGTCACTTAGCCTTTCCTGGAGCTTACTCCTTAAAATAAGTCTCTTAACTGGTGGATGTCTAGTGAAAATACTTATTTTGGTTTTTTTACTCGAGTCCTCCACATGGAGTAAATAAGAGTGAGCAATCAATAGAGCTGCAAAGGGCCATGACCATGCCCAAGTAACTCTCATAGCTGTCTCAGAGCAACCCGATGAGACAAATATTATTTTCAATTTATTGGTAAAGAAACGGAGACTGAGAATGGTTGTGTGCTTTGCCCAAGGACACATAGCTAGTAAAAGAAGCTGGAATTTCAAACCCTTAATATTAATGATTGCTTTATTTTGCCTCTCCAGGTTAGCACCCTGCCGTACCCCTGCTGGGAAGCCTACAGGTTCACTGCATTCTGCCATCATAGGAGGGAGGGAATGGTGCTGGCCCATCCATCCACCATACAGCCAATATCTTTTGAGGGCCTGGTACATTGCTTGGGTGAGTATACTGAAATAAATGAAACCTGTTTTTGTCCCCAGGGCCTCAGCATACAGTGTGAGCACGTACGGGAGACTCATATATGAGTGGGTGTGGGTGAACTGAGGGCCCAAGAGAGAGACACCAAGAGAATAACTGTGATACAATGGGAAAAGTGCTGATGGTGAGGTAAGGACAAAGTGTGGGGGGAACATAAAAGGGAAAGGGAGGGACGCCTGGGTGGCTCAGTCGTTAAACATCTGCCTTTGGCTCAGGTCATGATCCCAGGGTCCTGGGATCAAGTCCCCCATCAGGCTCCCCGCTCAGCCAGAAGCCCGCTTCTCCCTCTGAGTCTCTCCCCTCTCATACTCTCTCTCAAGTTCTCTCTCTCTCTCAAATAAATAAATAAAATCTTTATAAAAAAAGGGGGGAAGGGAGTTTTGAAATTAAAGCAAAAAAAAAGAAAGCAAAACCAAAATCTGATGGATTTAAGGCTCTTTAGAGGCATGATTCTACCTTTCTCCTAAATTGTAATGAATAACTCACTACAGAATTCTGCAGCAGCCAGGTGGTGTTACTCTCACTTGCTAATGAATATAACTCCCTTTGGCAATGCAGAAGGTGGGAGTAAGCAAGAAAGTGTCTTCAGGTACTGAAGTTGGCTATTGATTTCCAACAGACACAGCCTAAGGCAGCATTTCCCAAATTTACTGATTATAAGGCAGCGTTTCCCAAATCACCTGAGGCTCTTGTTAAACAAAATGATTCTCAGGCCCCACTCAGAATAATAAATCCCTCCAGTGATTACTCTACTGCCTGGGAGGTTTGGGAAATGCTGGTCTGAGGATGTGGGGGTCAAGGTAGCGGGCATGACATTGTCTTCAGAAATGATCATCCCTAAAAGCAGGGCTCCTTGACCATTCTGTGTTCTACGGATCCCTTTGGTCTCATGGTTCCCTTCTCAGAAGAATATTTTTAAGTGCATACAATAAAATACAGTGGATCACAAAGAATACCAATTATACTGAAATATAGTTACCGAAGTATTTTAATATATGTGCTTCTTTAATAATGCGTTAAATAACAAAGACTGGCGGCAGGTCCAAATCCCTGTAATTTCAAAGTACTCGTGAGTGTGGATGGTATTTCAAGGTGTCCACAACAACTCTGATGGGATTTGAAAATATAAATATCTGTGATTTCTACTGGGGACACTAAGGATTGTTTCTGCTGTGGGTTGATGCCTACATTCATAATTGAAGAAATGCTAAGTTTCAGTTTAGTGAAAATAAAGAAGTAATTTTATTTACATCCAAGTTGATGGACTCTCCTGATGAAGAATTCCTGCTCTAAGGATGGATTTTTAGTTGTTTGGGGAGATGTCTAAGGGGCAAAAATGGAATTACTTCTCTAGCCTCTTCATTCCATTTTTGTTTG